GGTCAGATATCTTGGCCCATATTCTTTGTCAAGTTAAGATTAAAATAGATAAATTAAAGTCATATCTTGAAAGATACACACCTCTCCAACCTTAAGTCTTCAGCTTTTGAGACGAAAAAGTTGGTATAACCTGTTTATTATTTTCTAATATCCGGTTAGACCTCAGATAATGAAGAGCATACAAGTAGTTAAATGAGTTTTAAAAAATACTTAAAAAGTAAAAATTTAAAAAAATATACACCAAAACATATAATCTTTTTATAATTATTATGAATAATTAAAAATGTTAAGCTATTGTTTATTTTGAACTTCGAAGTTCCATACAATTTTTGTGTGGATTGAAAGATGAAAAATATTTAAATTATTTTTAGTTGTCGTTCTTACACAATGTGAGATTATCAAATATATTAAAACGGGTCTCTAATTAAGGTTTAAGTGATTAAATATTCATTTTTCATTTCCCATAACAAACTAAACCTTCTAGTTGAAGTCTCCCATGGACAAATGTTCATATTTATAATATTTTTTCACTCCCTTAGTTGAAGGTTAAAAGAACTAGGCTTTCAATTCTATTTACAATAATTTCAATAAGGAGAATAGCAAAAGTGACTTTAAAGATGAATTATTGTTCCTATTTGATCTTTGGTTTGATATTATTCCATTAAGATCAACCACTTCATATGAAATAACACATTTCTCCTCTTGAATTCTCATTAATAAAAAAACTATTTTAAACATACAAGTTTGTTAGATAAATGTGTGTAATCTTTACATTTCTTTTAAAATCATATTCTTTCTTATAATTTTCTCAATCTACATATAGGTCAAAAACACTTAAAAAAAATTCTAAGCATATTATTGACATTCATGATAGTGATGCAATTAATTAAGGTTGAGTAAATTTAATTGAACATTACGTGCGCTTTAGACGTCGTTAGAAAAGGAAATCAAATTAAATCATTTAAAAAAAAGACGTTTAAAATATCTAAAAAATAAAAGGACAATTTTAAATAAAACAACTAATAAAGGAACCAAAATAAATATTAAACTAAAAGTAGCATGAAGAGGAAAAATAAAAGAATAGAAAAGAAAAAAAAGGAGTGATTAAATTTAATATATAGGAGGCAATTGCTATAAATAATAATATAGACCCTTTTAAAATGGTTAGGGTCAATAAGCTTTTATTTGGTAGTCAAGGGTCAATAAGCTGTTTGTTTAGTGTAGTATACAGGCACATATAAATATTGAAAAAATAACAAACAAATACTGCTGCAGTCTGAAAAGCCGCAAAACCAACACGCCTATTTCCTCCATTTCTGTGCCTTGGTGCTTAGTTACGGAGAGATGAGGTGACCTACTCTCCTAACGGCGTAACGGACATCCGAAAAGGAGACACGTGCCGAAGAAAAAGAAAAAGAAAAAAAAGGGTCGGGCCAGTTGATGGCTTTAGAGCAGGAATTGTCCCTGGGTCAGAATACGAATTCGAATAGGAATCCGAACCCAGTTGATTGCGTGGATGTTCGGGGTGAGGGTGGAGACGAGGGAGGGAAAGCGCCGAGACTGCCTCGGTGGACGAGGCAAGAAATTCTGGTTCTGATACAGGGAAAGAGAGACGCTGAAAACAAGTTCAGGAGGGGCCGAACGGCCGGATTGCCATTAGGGTCGGGTCAGGTGGAGCCCAAATGGGCATCGGTCTCTTCCTACTGCAGAAAGCATGGAGTCAACAGAGGTCCGGTTCAGTGCCGGAAAAGGTGGAGCAATTTGGCCGGAGACTACAAGAAGATCAAAGAATGGGAATCTCAGATAAGAGAGGAGTCGGATTCCTTTTGGGTCATGAGAAACGATTTAAGGAGAGACCGGAAATTGCCCGGATTTTTTGACAAGGAAGTTTATGATATTCTCGATTCAGGCTCCCAAGGTCCGGCGTTGGCTCTCGCTCTTTCATCGCCTCCTTCAATGACAGTAACGGTGTGCAAGGACATGCGCATGGACATGGANTTAAAGAACACAGGATAACTTTCAAGAATCAAGAGAATGCTTCTTTTTCAATTTGATATGTAATGAGGAAAGATAAGTTAGACGACGCATTACCTTCCTTGAAGACAAGTCCTGTAAGAGCAGCAAAAAGAGGACCGACAAACCAGATAGCGGATGGGTTGTCGACGACATATAGTATTAAATTTTTATTAGCTGGTTGAGCAAGGGTGAAGTAAGCTGTAGCCGATCCAAGAACACCGAGCACCCACAGTGCTTGTAGGAAGCGCTTGATCTCAGAAACATAGATATGAATCAGGAGTAACGATAAACCCAACCCACTAGATCCAAGGACATAAAATAGATCAAGGTTCTGCTTCAGAGTGGTACTTAAGGAGGAGTTATCTGGTAAAAGGGCAGCAGAAGCAGCGACCACAAACGATGTAGCAGTTGTTACCAATCCCGATCTGTACAAAATTACCTGCCATGGCGTAATAATAATAACAACAATAATAAATTATAATTGCTTACAACCTCACTACGCATTCTGGTTCAGAAGTCCAATCAAATTATGTTAATAATAGCTGGATCTAACAAATTGATGAATCCACGTCAAACTCAACCAATAAGAACATTGGAGATTGAATCGAAGTAAAACGAAATTATAAAGAAGGGAAGCTTAGCTATCTACTCTGCATGAAAGAGAATGAGGACAGGATGAACACCTCTCGAACATCGGAGTCGTCAATCGTCCACGGGCCATATATACCGTCATATACGATGGTTTCGTCCACGGAACCTTGTTGCTTTTCTCCAACAGCTTCACACCGTGCAGAGAATCTGCGGCCGGAAGAAGGAAACCGAGCCCCACAACATAACCTTGGAGTGTTGTGAACTCTGCATCGTGGACCTGGGAGGTATACTGACGCAGTCACCGCCACCGTACTCAATCCTCGCAATGCCATGTTCTAATTTATCAGATTATATCTTATTTTTGTCTGTACGATATTTCAGTTTTTTAAATAGTAATAACTTTATTTTTCTTAAGGTGACAAGTTAATCAAATTGGAGTAGTGTAATGCACTCCTTTTTTTAAGTATCCAGTATTCCGTCTGCGTCAGTTTTTTATTTATTTTGTTTGGATGAGGATAAAAACATCAATAAAATATATCTAAAAATAAATACGAGAACATGATATTTGAATGATAACATTATTTTGATAATACTTTTTATAATATTTTAATAATTTAAAATTATTCTATAATCAATAATAATAATAATCATAAACATCAACAGAAATCAATTACATAAATCAATAACAGAATTATAGATGTTAAAACGTTGCCAACAAAATATTATCATAAAATATTGTACAATAAATTAATGAAAGAAGGAGACAACTTTATTTTGTTTTTTTAAATTTGTAAAAACACGTATTCTAAGTGGAAAGAGATGCCATGCATGTATGATTACTTTTTTCCTTAACTTATTGTCCAAAAAATTCATTACTGTAGTGATCTTTAAATAAAAATTACAAAAATAACTATCGAATCTTCTGTCTAAGTGTATTTTTGTTACAAGGAATAATAACCAAAATAAAGGTTATAAATACAATAAATAAATATAATAATATCAATCTTCTCTACTATAATATCAATTAAATATATTAGTAGAATCTAAATTTATTATTGGACAAACTTAGGCCTAATTTTGGCTTGATCATGCATGTCAGTTTTAATACACTACTTAGGTATGTTAACTCTATTCAAAGTGTGGTTTCATCTTATGTTATTATGGTCAGATATCTTGGCCCATATTCTTTGTCAAGTTAAGATTAAAATAGATAAATTAAAGTCATATCTTGAAAGATACACACCTCTCCAACCTTAAGTCTTCAGCTTTTGAGACGAAAAAGTTGGTATAACCTGTTTATTATTTTCTAATATCCGGTTAGACCTCAGATAATGAAGAGCATACAAGTAGTTAAATGAGTTTTAAAAAATACTTAAAAAGTAAAAATTTAAAAAAATATACACCAAAACATATAATCTTTTTATAATTATTATGAATAATTAAAAATGTTAAGCTATTGTTTATTTTGAACTTCGAAGTTCCATACAATTTTTGTGTGGATTGAAAGATGAAAAATATTTAAATTATTTTTAGTTGTCGTTCTTACACAATGTGAGATTATCAAATATATTAAAACGGGTCTCTAATTAAGGTTTAAGTGATTAAATATTCATTTTTCATTTCCCATAACAAACTAAACCTTCTAGTTGAAGTCTCCCATGGACAAATGTTCATATTTATAATATTTTTTCACTCCCTTAGTTGAAGGTTAAAAGAACTAGGCTTTCAATTCTATTTACAATAATTTCAATAAGGAGAATAGCAAAAGTGACTTTAAAGATGAATTATTGTTCCTATTTGATCTTTGGTTTGATATTATTCCATTAAGATCAACCACTTCATATGAAATAACACATTTCTCCTCTTGAATTCTCATTAATAAAAAAACTATTTTAAACATACAAGTTTGTTAGATAAATGTGTGTAATCTTTACATTTCTTTTAAAATCATATTCTTTCTTATAATTTTCTCAATCTACATATAGGTCAAAAACACTTAAAAAAAATTCTAAGCATATTATTGACATTCATGATAGTGATGCAATTAATTAAGGTTGAGTAAATTTAATTGAACATTACGTGCGCTTTAGACGTCGTTAGAAAAGGAAATCAAATTAAATCATTTAAAAAAAAGACGTTTAAAATATCTAAAAAATAAAAGGACAATTTTAAATAAAACAACTAATAAAGGAACCAAAATAAATATTAAACTAAAAGTAGCATGAAGAGGAAAAATAAAAGAATAGAAAAGAAAAAAAAGGAGTGATTAAATTTAATATATAGGAGGCAATTGCTATAAATAATAATATAGACCCTTTTAAAATGGTTAGGGTCAATAAGCTTTTATTTGGTAGTCAAGGGTCAATAAGCTGTTTGTTTAGTGTATTATACAGGCACATATAAATATTGAAAAAATAACAAACAAATACTGCTGCAGTCTGAAAAGCCGCAAAACCAACACGCCTATTTCCTCCATTTCTGTGCCTTGGTGCTTAGTTACGGAGAGATGAGGTGACCTACTCTCCTAACGGCGTAACGGACATCCGAAAAGGAGACACGTGCCGAAGAAAAAGAAAAAGAAAAAAAAGGGTCGGGCCAGTTGATGGCTTTAGAGCAGGAATTGTCCCTGGGTCAGAATACGAATTCGAATAGGAATCCGAACCCAGTTGATTGCGTGGATGTTCGGGGTGAGGGTGGAGACGAGGGAGGGAAAGCGCCGAGACTGCCTCGGTGGACGAGGCAAGAAATTCTGGTTCTGATACAGGGAAAGAGAGACGCTGAAAACAAGTTCAGGAGGGGCCGAACGGCCGGATTGCCATTAGGGTCGGGTCAGGTGGAGCCCAAATGGGCATCGGTCTCTTCCTACTGCAGAAAGCATGGAGTCAACAGAGGTCCGGTTCAGTGCCGGAAAAGGTGGAGCAATTTGGCCGGAGACTACAAGAAGATCAAAGAATGGGAATCTCAGATAAGAGAGGAGTCGGATTCCTTTTGGGTCATGAGAAACGATTTAAGGAGAGACCGGAAATTGCCCGGATTTTTTGACAAGGAAGTTTATGATATTCTCGATTCAGGCTCCCAAGGTCCGGCGTTGGCTCTCGCTCTTTCATCGCCTCCTTCAATGACAGTAACGGTGTGCAAGGACATGCGCATGGACATGGACACCAAAAGAGGGTATGCACCTGCCCCTTCCTCAGCCTCAGCCCCTGCCCCTGCCCCTGCCCCTGTCCCTGCCCCTGTCCCTGCCCCTGCTGAGCCTGAGGAGCCTCACCTCTACGATAGTAATCGGAGCGTGCCTGTTGAGGATGGTTTGTTTTCAGATTTCGAACAAGATGAAGCCTCTGCCAGTCCCGAGAAGAAGGACATTTTTCCGCCCTCCAACAGGGACTTCCCTGCTCCCATTCCTATATCAGGTTTAAATTTTATTCCATTCCATGTTTTCTAATTTCTCGTACGTGATTTTGTTCCTTTTGCCTTTTCTGCACTCCACTCTTACTCTACTACCTTGTTTTTGCCACTTTGTCATCTATCTTCTTTACTTGCTTGCTCGCTTCTTGTCTTTTTCTTCTACCAATGATATTGCTGTGCTACTGTTACACGTCTGTCTCTTTTAAACATGGAAAAACTATAAGCACGTCACATTGTTTGATTGCTGTCTGGACCATTGCCAGCATATTTTCTTCTCCTTTACGTAAAAGCAATATCAACCACTCCTCCGTGGATGCCAAGGGGAAGGTAATGTTCAATATAATACCACACAGCTTTCACAACTGCTTTATCACATTTGTGTTATTGCTTCTGATTTCCTAAAGGCTTAAATATAATTTTGGTTTAGTATAGGAATCATTTTTGTCTCCCTAGTTTTTAATCAGCTTATTTTTTACGGAGACAACTTAATTAGTGAAATCTAAGCTTATTTTAAAATAGCTGACTTTTAGACTTGTTTGATTGATATTCTCCATAAGCACGTGGAAGAGAGTAAAGAATGTAAAGTGAATCGAGTTTCTTTCGTAAGTTCAAACCAACTTATGCACTTTAGCTTTTGGAGAAGCTAAATGAGATAGCTAAGTTCATCAGTTGATTTTAGATGACTTCTAGTCATAACATGATAGATGGTCTACCATGCACCAAAATTTGTAGCCCTTTGATTAATCTCAACCTTTCCCTTCAGTTTTCTCCATCAAAAATTATTTCTAGCAATATAAATAATTGTATGGTTCAAGACTCCACCTACAAACCGCTCCTTAATGTCAAAGCACCAGCTTGGTGGTTGGCCGATTAGCATTGTCAGCATTGCTACAGACAAGATCTCCGACATGCTAAAAAGTGCAACAAGAACCTTGACAAGGAAAAGGACATTGAGATGCTTTTGAACCCATCCATAACTATGTTTTTGACCAACTTGCATCCATTGAGAAGTTCCTACCAATATGTTTTAGACCAACTTGTATCAATTGGGAAGTTAACTGACAAATTTCAGGAGGCTGCACATGTTCTAAAGTGGTGGAATTTGACGCTTGATGGTGAAGATGGACCCGATGTTGTTGTTTTTTTTAGATCGGCAATATTAGTTAGTAGTGTTTTGTTAGTAGGGAGAGATGAACGCACAACATCTCCCACCTTCTCTTCCAACTTTACCTTTAAGCCAACCTTGAGAGTCCCAAGATGTTGTTGGTGTTTCTAAGGGAAGTGATTTGGATATCTGAAATATGTAGGAAAGGAGATGAAAACAGGGGAATCAAAACATTGCCACTGGAAATTAATGTCATGTTATGCCTCTATTACATTTCGGTTAATTATTGAATAGAAATTTTGAAGTGAGAGACTTAGCCTAAAAACAATGATGACTAAATGTGAGCAATTAAAATAAATAGAGGACCAAAGTCACACATAGATTCAGGTATGAGACTAACAGTGAAATTAAGTCATTTTCAAATGAGAATATCCATTTCGCAAACGTGCTGAGTTCATAATGTATGTCATAATTGATTGAAAATAACATGTACCTTCTTAAGATTTAAGACTCAAATGATATTGTTAGTAATAGCATTTAGTCGTGGAATTATGTTTAGTTAAATTCCAACTGTGTTTGGAGAACTTTTTAATAAATTATTTATAGAAGAAAATAAAAACGTTAAATGTTTCCAACTTTTTCACAAGTTAAACTCATTTTAACTTCTCTAGAAGTTTCCTCATCTAGTTTTTTTTTTCAAAACTGATGTATAAGTTGATTTTAACTTGTAGAAGTTTATAATTCATCTTGCTATCTATTTTTTTTTTGTTTGAAGTACTTATTTTTTTTTCAAAACAGTCTTAATATTTAATTTGATTCGGCTTCTATGTGTAGTTCTTAGGACAACTTTCTCATTTAACCAATTATGACATGTGGGCTCTAATTCTAATTACTAATGCATGTTTAAGTAAGTTATACCGCACTTAATGACAAACCCGAACACATGGAAGTTACTTCAATGACCTTTACTTTATCTCCAAAATATAATGAACACGAGGCTTTTAGACATTGAGTCAATCAACTAAAATTCATGTGTCGCAGCTTGCTACTGTTGGATTGAGTGGTAAACAATCATGCATGATACTACTTAAGAATGTAACAATCGAATGTCACAATTTGATTCCACTTTACCTAAGCAACCTATTTCACAATACAATTGATATATCCTGCAACAATCTCTCCCTCAACAATTTTTCTAATTGGAATCAAACTATTTGATTGTGACTCGGTTCACCTATCCAATCCTATGCCATGGAATAATTGTATAACTTGCAATAATCTCTCCCTGAACAATTATTCCATTTAGAATTAAACTCATGATCTTAACTATGATACCAATTGTTAAATTGAACACTCACCACTATGCTTAGCTGATAGTCAGGACACAAGTCTTTCTACTTAAAAGCGTAAAACGTCATGATTTAACTGTGACTTGGTTCACATTACCTAGACAATTAATGCACCTTGCTACAGCTACCTTGTTCAATATCTAGACCACTGCTTTTGTTTCTGCTGCTGTTTCTGATTCCTGCAACAGCCTTAGAATAGAGTTGATTGGTTGCTTTTCAGTTTCCTATTTCTGAATTTGGAATTTCAATAATGCCAATATATAATTATTTCTTGTGCTAAGTATCATTTACTCGTGTCCACTTTTTGGGGGATAATCATCCAACGTATGATTGCTTACTTAGGATGGTTCAGATTTTTTTTTGGAAAGCTGGCATATAAATCATGCATATGTACAATATGAATTAGATCAAGGTTCGTCACGTATAGGTAAATGATGTCAACTTGTATAATCGCACAAGTAATGCACTTTATAACTCCTTCGCTCCTCCACAAGTCATTGGATATTAAATTCTGCCGAGAAATTTTTTGAAAGGTCCAAATTCTTTACATGCCTCATTTGGTACTCTTGAACTGTTAATGTTTCAGAGGCATGCTATTCATAATTAGCAAATTCCTGGATAAAATCGTTCCTTGAGCTCCGTGAAATAGCCTAAGATGATCAGTTAACTGCCTCCCAGCCACAAGCACCGATTGTGTGATTTTAAACCTTTTAGCTTTAGCTTCTTATAATAAACTTAGAAATAAAGTTACTGGTTTAACAATGATAACATTGTGGACTTAACTGATTTTTTACTATACATTTAATTTGTTTAAACGTTCTCTTTTTCCGTAGGTGTGACTAACGAGAAACAGTCTACTCCAAATCCAGAAATGGGTTCTACCTCTCAAGGAGAGCGGAAAAGGAAGCGATTATCAACTGACGGAGGGGAGGAAACTTTGCAAATTCATTTAATTGATGTCTTAGAAAGAAATGGCAAGATGCTAAGTGCTCAACTTGAAGCGCAGAATATAAATTTCCAGTTGGATCGTGAGCAGCGGAAAATCAATGGTAGTAATTTGGTTGCCGTGCTGGATAAGCTTGCAGATGCTTTAGGGAGAATCGCTGATAAATTATAGCGCAAGAGCAATCAGAATGCAGTGTACATAACAGTTGAAGTCCTGTAGATAATTGGGTTACTGTTAT